GTGTGTGCATTTTTTTCTTTTATCCCTGTGTTGACGACACATGTTGCACAGCTTAGACTATAGCAGGGCCTCGGAGGCCAGATGACAAGAAGCCCTGGACTCTGGACCCTGCACTGTCTTGAGCACATCTGGAATATTGTATTCTTTTCTGAAAAGCCTTTTCTGACTTACAACATGATTCCAGATGGCAGCCAGGGCTGTGATGGGGCTGGAAACTGTCCCATGAACCTTTAACTGGGGCCACATTCAACATGATGGCTTTCCATGGAAAGGAGCACAGACTCTCCTTGTGTGGCCAAATTAACACTTGCAGAAGATCTAGGAAGCAGGTTTCAGTTTAAAAGAAATGAAAACTCTGTGGTACTTAGTGTCTCTTGGCTTTGGATAGCCATCTTCTATTGAGCACAACACCCTATTTTCGGTGTTGTAAGTGCTATGTGTATACTGACTCATTTTATCCTCACACTCACCCTATGGATTTAAGTGCTCGTTTTATAAGTGAAGTGGAGATTTGGGTTTAGTAACTTGGTGCAAAGTCTCATACCAGCCATGGTGGTGAATGGTAAGCTAACTCAGAGCCCGTCCTCTTAACCACTTCTCTGCTGCTCTCAGAAGTGTTGAATAAAGGCAGATTAACCACCTTCCAGGGCTGCCAAATAAAGACTCCTACTTGTGTACTTTGCTGCCCTGGGAGGCTCCTTCCAACACTGACATTCTGAGACCTCGTCCCACCCTCACCTGTGGTTCGCCACTTTCATACTGCGGCCCAGGGTGGTGGCACAGCCTCCAGCAAACCTTCCTCCAGCAGCCTGTATCCAGCACACAGGGGCCACTGACCCCTTGGCCGTGATCATACTCTGCCATAGGCTGCTCACCTCCCTACTTGAAGTGCAGCCTCCCTTCACAGGGCCAGGGACTGGCTCTGTCATCTCTCCTTTCCCCTAGCACCCAGTATGGCTACTTCACATGGTGGACATCTGTTCTGGTCACTCTTTCCCAGCTGGCCCCAAGTGGTGTCTGACGCATGTTTCATTCTAAAATCCCAGGATAGAATATGTAACAGTGACTCCAGAAGGATTCCGATACCGGGGCCAAATCTTCCCAACCGTGAATGGACTCTTCAGGTGGTTTAAAGATCATTACCAGGATCCTGTACCCGGTGAGTTCTACTCTCCTCTGACTTTGGGGGTGCGGTTGGAGGGACACCAAGGGCTTGACTCATAGTGCTCACTGACTTGGGAGGGTGAAGCGCAGGCTGTCGTTGCAGCTGTCCTACTCCTATGCCAGCCTCCTTATCCTCAGGGAAGCCCTCCATCCACTGTGCCTGTACAGTTGCCCTCCCTCCCACCATCTATCTCAGGGCTTCTTCCAGCCCCCTGAATTGTAACCATTTCTTACAGGCATCACCCCCAGTAGCAGCAGCAGGACTCGGACCCCTGCCTCGATCAATGCCACCCCGGCCAACATCAACCTTGCAGGTGAGGAGCTTGGGCCTGGGACTGGGGATGGGAGGGATGGGGCTAGAGGGACTTTCATCTCTAACACACCCATCCCCGCTTCTGTGTGTTTACAGATCTGACACGGGCTGTGAACGCCCTGCCCCAGAACATGACCTCACAGATGTTCAGTGCCATTGCTGCCGTGACAGGCCAAGGACAGAACCCTAATGCCACCCCAGCCCAGTGGGCTTCCAGCCAGTATGGCTATGGCGGCAGTGGAGGAGGCAGCAGCGCTTACCATGTATGTGGCTTTGGGAGGAGCCTTCCTGTGCTGGATGGGGAGGAGTGAAGGGGAACAATCATCCGTTGCCAAGCCATGTCCCATAGACTGGCCTTTGGCAGTGCCCACCACAAAGGGCCTCATGCCCCCCATGGGGCCACCACAGCCTTAGGACCTGTCTCCAATAGATGTGCCCTTTCCTTGGGCTCATTTTAGGGGGAACGGAATACGAAAGAGCCTGATGTCTCCAGAGTCCTTTGGGTTTTTGGAGCCCTCAAGCCACTAGAAACCTGAGGTGGTCAGGACAAGTGGGCCCCATTGTGTGCCAGATGCCATCCATTGGCTTCCCTCTGCTGCTCAGAACCACATACTACCCTGAGAGAGGGTCAGCTGGAAAGCTGTGTGCTGAGCCCACTCTTGCAGCTTGTCAGAACCTTGCAGCAAAGCCAAACAAGCCCAGAGCCCATCCCTACTAACTGTTCATGCCTCTCCAGGTGTTCCCAACGCCAGCCCAGCAGCCAGTGGCCACACCACTAATGACCCCCAGTTACTCCTACACAACCCCAAGCCAGCCCATCACCACCCCACAGTACCACCAGCTACAAGCCAGCACCACCCCGCAGTCTGCCCAGGCCCAGCCCCAGCCCTCCTCCAGCTCCCGGCAGCGGCAGCAGCAGCCAAAGTAAGTATCTGGACCAGGGGTCCTCAAACTTTTTAAACAGGGGGCCAGTTCACTGTCCCTCAGACCATTGGAGGGCCATTGGAGAATGTGGTGCACATTCCACACATGCTCACTGTGGGCCCGGGATGAGTCAGCTGCTAAACTAAGCAGGACAGGCAGTGGCAGCAAAAACACCCAGTGGGCCAGATAAATGTCCTTGGAGGGCCATGTGCAGCCCATGGGCTGCAGTTTGAGGACGCCTGATCTGGACGGTGGCTCAGAGGAGGTTATTAGTATCAAGCGGCCGAGTGCTTAGCAAAGGCAGGTGCCCTGGATCCTCTGAGAGCCATGCCCCACATGGTGCCCCCAGGGACCCTGGTTTCTAGGGGAAGACAGAAGAGGGCAGTGTGGCAGCCAGCCACTGCTGCTTCTGCCTCACCCCAGCAAAGGGGCTGCTGCCCACAGGTGTGAGGTCCCTTTTTGCAAGGGTGGGTACTCACCAGTGACTGATGAGAAGGCTCCCTTCTAGTGAGCCCCTGGAGAATCCCACTTTAAAAGACCCTTTCTTCCCCCTCCCAGGTCCAACAGCCACGCAGCCATCGACTGGGGCAAGATGGCAGAGCAGTGGCTACAGGAAAAGGAGGCAGAAAGGCGAAAACAGAAGCAGCGGCTGACACCTCGGCCCTCCCCCAGCCCCATGATCGAAAGCACCCCGATGTCCATTGCTGGCGATGCCACCCCACTCCTGGACGAGATGGATCGGTAGGGGACCTGCTCCTCGGACTCTGGTTACCTCTGAGGCTGTGAAAAGCCTGGCCGCCTACAGCCTCCCTCCCTGCCCCTCCTTTTCTGTCCATAAAAGTGGCGTGAAGTGACGTTCCTTTTGGTGGTCAGCCTGGATGGGTGACAGGCTGGATGGCCTTGCGAACTTGAGCTCAGTGTACACTAGGTAACAATTCTCCCACTCCAGATCCTCACCGACCACCTGTCCTGGGACCAGGCTGGGAGGGGAGTGTGGCAGGAGGAGGAAGGGGAAGGTGAAAAGGAGAGTGGAACAGTTTTGTATTCTACTCCCTACAAGCCATTTTGAGCTGCTGCCCTCACCTGACTTGGCTATGACCAGGGCACCAAGCTCAGCACGTGTGTCTCCCCTAGCTCTTGTGGGGAGAGGGATGCTATTTATTCAGTTTGGGGCAGGAGGGAGAGGAGGAGGGAAAGTATTCCTGAACCTGATGCCAACAGCCTGGGTGGCTGTCAAAGCAGGATTGCAGGGACACAGGGGAGCAGTGCTAACCTGCCCAGCCCTGCCTAGCGCCCTCCCCACTTGCCAACACCACCGCTTCCTGCCTGTCATTTGAATAAACAGTGTTTCTACAGAGCTCTTGCCAAAGCCTCTCTCTCCCAACTCTCCGGCTCTTAGTGGAGTGACTTTCAAAGCAGTGTTCGGAGCTCTGAGGGCTCCCTTACTCCCTATTCCAATCCATCAGAGGCGATGATTCCTAGAACAGGCTTCTGCATCAGACTGCCCGGGGCACATCCCTGTTCTACTTCCTAATCCTGTGACCCCGTGCCAGCCCCTGTTGTCTCTCAGCCGACTTTCTTATCTGTAACAAGAATACAGTGATACCTACCTCATTGGCCACTGGGAGGACTGAGACGGAGTGTGTGTGTGTGTGTGTGTGTGTGTGTGTGAGCCGCTTGGCCCAGTGCCTGGTACCTCCTAAAGGTTGTGCACCTACTCACACTCAGCTGCCCTGTCCACGGTACCTGCTAGTCTCTGGCATACTAGAGAAAAGCCACAAGTAGATCTGGGTTTCTCAGCTTGAGTGCCTACACCTCCCTCTCTTCCCTTCCCTTTTCCCAGCTGGGCCTTGGTCTCTGGTATTTTCTTTCTTTTTTTTTTTTTTGAGACGGTCTCACTTTGTTGCCCAGGCTAGAGTGAGTGCCGTGGCGTCAGCCTAGCTCACAGCAACCTCAAACTCCTGGGCTCAAGCGATCCTTCTGCCTCAGCCTCCCGAGTAGCTGGGACTACAGGCATGCGCCACCATCCCGGCTAATTTTTTCTATATATATTAGTTGGCCAATTAATTTTTTTCTATTTATAGTAGAGACGGAGTCTCGCTCTTGCTCAGGTTGGTTTTGAACTCCTGAGCTCAAACGATCCGCCCGCCTTGGCCTCCCAGAGTGCTAGGATTACAGGCGTGAGCCACCGCGCCGGCCAAAGTCTCTGATATTTTCTAAACAAGTCAGGTGTTTGTGTCCCAGGGTGGGTCCCATGTTTAACCTGCTCCGACACACACACCCTGGCCCCACTGCAGTTTTTGTTCTGGACTCCTGGTGTCCCTGTTTCTTTACAAGGGCTTTATCTCAGCTTTGTGAGTAGGCGCTAGGTGAGGCTTCCGCCTCCCTGCCTACCTCTCCTCAGCTTGGGGCTCAGCTGAGAAGAAAAGGCCACTGCTGCCTGGACTCGATGTATTCCCTCCCCTGCTTTTCTCTGTCAAGAGCTGGGCAAAGGAGCTGGCATTCTGCCAGGACTCAACTCCGTTCCCTTCAGTACAAGAGGTCCTCCAGGGTCTCAGAGACACAGCCACTCAAATGAGGAAAAGGCCAGGCACAGTGGCACAGTGGGTCAAAAGGTTCTGTTTATTGGGGGTGTCACTGCAAACAGTACTGCCTGACCTAGACGTGGATTACACAGAAAGCGGTCTCCCAGGAGAGAGGGGAAGCCCTCCCTCCCCACCTCCAGATGTACTCTTCCGCCCTGGTCCTAGGGTGTCAGGAAGAAACAGGGCGGTGCCCCTCTCCTTCCCTCCCACCTACCTTCCCATGGGCTTCCTCCTTGAAAGCTGGATTGCCTCTCAGAAACCCCTGCAGCCCAGAGCCCACCCCTCCCCCCAAGAAGTAGCCAGGTTGGAGGGAGAGAGAAGAGCAGCGGGGTTGGCTACAGGCTTGATGGCATTTATTCTTCACCCTGATCGCCCTGGCCTCAACTGAGATTAGGGTTTGACGCTGGGGGAGATTTCCTCTTGTTTACCTTCCTGGTTTGCAAAGTCTTGGACCCAGGCTTCTTGGCCTGGACTGAGTTCTTCTCTCTCTTCCTGGACGATGAAGACTCAACAACATCCTCACTGGAGGGCTCCTCCTGCCCCCGGTCATTGTAACTGTCCTCACTCTCCATCTCTTCCCTGCTTTCTGGGCTGGACTCGGACATCCTGGCCAACTCTCTTGGGCTTAATGTTCGCCTCAGGTCTGGAGGTGAAGACTCCAATTTAGTTGGGCTTTTCTTCTTAGCCAACTTGCCCTTCTTGGCTTTTTTCTTCAGCTTTGTCTTCTCATCCGACTCCTCCTCTTTGTCTTTATCCTTTTTCTTCTTTACTTTCTTGGTCACCTTGTTGCCCTGGCCCTTCCCTGTGGGGCTCTCAGAGCGCCAGATGGTGATGGGCGCTGCCGAGTCAGGAGCACAAGTGACCATGCTGGTAGCTAGGTCGGTGGGTGTGGTAGTGGGCCTCACCTGGGTGGGGATAGGAGGCTTGCTTTCCTCTTCCTCCTCCTCCTCCTCCTCCTCTTCCTCTTCTTCATTTAGGTCATCTGCCCTACACTCGTGGTGGATGGGATGGTGGATCACTGCCACGGACAGAGGCCTATAGCTTTTGCACCTGAGAGGGAAGGGATGGGAGAAGTTTGATGGGATGGAGCACGGTACTTGAGAGGCCCCTTCCGCAGCAACCCGCTACCACTCACCAGCCGTACCAAAACCTCTCAACACACGCCTCCTCTGGGATGAGCTCCAAGCAAGGGGATGGGATGATCTTGATACAGGTCGGGCTCACATCTCGGGAACAGGTTGGGCCCGAGTCTCGGGTGCCGTTCTTTATCTTCTCTGCGCAGTCCTTCAGCCTGCCACACACGGGACTGTCATCCCGGCTCTCACGCCACCATGACTCCCCAGGGGCCCAGAGCAAGCAGCCTGAGGGAGCGTGGGCTTCCGCTGGGCTTGGCCCAGGCTACCAAAAGACCTCCTCCCCATTGCTCCTGGAGCAGAGCAAGGTTTGCCAAGCTTGGGCTGGGCTGGTAGGGCCAGGTCAAAACAGAAGAGGGAGACCAAAAGTTGAAAGGGGGAACCACAATGAAAGTTTGGACCTGGCTCTGCTGTAGGTCCCCCAAGGAGGGGCCCTCACCTAGAATCACAGTCGCAGTGGCTGATAGAGTGCAGGTGCAGGCTGTGGTGGCCATAGTCAGAAGTGAAGGGGTAGATGATGTGCCCAGTGCACTGCTTATGTTTCCAGCAGCACCTGTCAGTCTCCTTGCAGTCACCTGCAGGGGTAGGGTCTGGGTCACTCAAGGCAGCAGCAGCACAGCTCAATCTAAAGCCTCACCAAGTTCACCTGGTACCACCACCTGCCCCCTCCCCCAACCCCCTAACTTTCTACTTCAATAGTAGTAACTCAGCCCAGTCCCTAGTAAGAACTAGGGACCTTACTGCGGTTCCTTCTACACATGGGCTCCACCCACTCTGGGGGTGGAAGTGGGCGGGCACTGCTGAGTTCCGTGGCAGCCTGGCATAGCGTGCTATAGCTAGCTAACTCACTGAAACAGGCCATGAGGACTGCACCTTCACCCAGGCCCCACTGGGGCGAGACCGTATACTGGCCGACAGCCAGGGATCAATCCAGACAGTGGGTATGTTAGTCTAAGTGGCCTTCTTGTGCTGAGAGGTGGACAGCTTGGTCTGAGGCTTACCTCACATTGCTCTTCCTTCTCTTCCCACACAAGGCTGTAAAGATCCTGAGTCCCCCCCATACCCCCCCCACCTGCTTGGTGACCTTTGTTGCTGCTTCCTTGCCTCCTGTGCCCTCTCTCTGTCCCCAGGGGAAATGAGGAATGCGTGTGTGTGGCAGGGCCTGGGAACATCACCACCACCTCGGCCTTGTTCAGCACTGCTGAACTGGGGCAAAGGACAGCAATAGTGACAAGTGCCCTGAACTTGTAGTCGGACAGACCAGTGTCCAAGTCTTAGTTCTGGCACTTACTGGTTGGGTGGCCTACGGCAAATTACTTCTCTAACCCTTTCTTTTCCTAATCCACAAAACGGGAGGGTAGTGATACCTATTTTGCAGGGTTGTTGGGAGGACTCAAGTTCACATACTTCAAAGATACTATTTGTGTACCATAAAGTGCTAAACACAAGAAAGGGATGATGGCAGCCTTGAGAAAGGTCCATCTCTCTGGCATCTGTAGGGGACGGGGTGGGGGTGGGGAGCTGGGTAACCCCTTCCTTCCTTCCACCAGGTGTTAGCTTTTCCAAGTGAGGGTGGTGGGAACACTGGGGCCAGAGGTCTCCTGGACCTACCTTCAGAGGAGAAGGTAGACGCATCAGTGCTGGATGCCACACCAGCCAGAAGATGTCCTCTCTCCCAGCTGGGTAACCTGCTTACATCTGAGAAAGCACAGAGTGGCTGCAGTGGCAGCACCCCTCCCCATGCCATTCATCCACCAAATATTTACTGAGAAGCCTATCAGGCCCCCAGCTGCACCCCGGAGATGCAGAGACTTAAACAATGGTCTCTGCTGTCAAGAGGGTAGGGGAGAGGGTGAGAAGAGGGACACAAGGGAGGTTCATGAAAGTAGTGTGAGGCTGATAGGGAAATGGCAGGAGCAGGGAATAAGGGCCACCTACTGAGACTGGGGAGAGGGACAGGGGACTATGGAAAACTTCTTGGAAGGAGCATCATTGGAGCTGGAGTGATGAATAGGAGTGAGCCAGGGTCTAGGCAAAGAGGGGCAGCTCCAGAAATTGTCCCAGGGTATGTGGGCTTGGGCAGAGGGTGCCCCTGAGCAGACCTGCAACTGGGGCACCAGCTCCCCCAGCCATCAGCAACCACAGGACAATCTGCCACTTGCCCTTTCCTTCCTGCAACTAGCTTGATCCTTTGAGGCACTGGACTTGAGACCTGCTTAAGGAAGGGAAGCTGAATGCTTGGGGTCTTCAGTGGGCACTTGGGTTATCCTTCTACAGGTCCCTGGTCAGCTCCTCCTGTTTTCCACAACACAGTAAGTACTCAAAGTTTGTTAAATGAACAGCTTTAAGCACTTCCTGGAAACTCCCGCACTGCTATTGTTCCTCTTAGCAGATAATTTCACCAGTATTATCTGCAGATGCTCCTACCCTCAACAACTCCTCTAGCCTGGGCATGACGTGTCCCTCCCCAAAGCATCTATATTCTGTATAGATGCCAGAATCATCACCTTCTTCCTCTTTACTGGCTTTTTTTCACCTCCTACAAGCTATAAGCATCTTTAAACAAAACACTATCAACCTGGTTTCTCTCTCTACCACTCCCTCTACCATATCCTCCCTTTTCTTTTCAATCCAAGTTTATTAACTTATTCATTTATCAGATGTATACTGGGCCACTTCACTAGGCACTAGACTTCAGTGAGCTCAGTATCTCCACCTCTTTCCTCTCCTCCAGCCATCTGCAGTGTGGAAGCCATCCACACCTCTATCAACACAGGCCACCAGCAATCTCCCAATAGCCAAACCTAGTGGCCTCCTTTATGTCTCATCTCACTTGACCCTACTGACCAAGCAATGTCTTTCTTCTGCAAACAATGTTCCTTGAGCTTCCAAGGCAATCCTCTCTCATCTTCTTCCTTCCCTGCCTAGCTCTTTCTTGCCTCCCTTGCTGTCCCCTTTTCTCTGCTGTACCCCTTAAGTTGTTGATTGCCCAGGTACTGTATTTGGCCACCTCCTTAAGATTCTACAAAAACTTGTCCTGGATAATGTCATCCAATTCCATAGCTTCAGCATCCTTCCATAAAATGACACAAATCTGAGTCTCTAGTTCTGACTGCTAACCAGAGGATATGGCCAATAGATGTTGCCAAAACATCTTAAAGCCAGCATGTCCCACACAGACCTACCATCTTCTCCCTTCTGCCCATGAACCACCTCCTCTTGTATCCATCATTTCAGACACCAGCAGACACCTTGGTTAAAAATCTAGGGATTGGCCGGAAGTGGTGGCTCACACTTATAATCCTAGCACTCTAGGAGGCCAGGGCAGGTGGATCACTCAAGGTTAGAAGTTTGAAACCAGCCTGAGCAAGAGCGAGACCCCATCTCTAGTAAAAATAGAAAGAAATTAATTGGCCAACTAAAAATATGTAGAAAAAATTAGCCGGGCATGGTGGCGCATGCCTGTAGTCCCAGCTACTCAGGAGGCTGAGGCAGAAGGATCGCTTGAGCCCAGGAGTTAGAGGTTGCTGTGAGCTAGACTGACGCCACTGCACTCTACCCCAGGTGACAGAGCAAGACTCTGTCTCAAAAAAAAAAAAAAAAAAAAAGATGGCAGAGGTAGGATTCAAACCCAGGTCTTCCTGGTTCCATAGCCTCTTTCAGCCCTATCTACTGACTGTAGACAAGGTCACTCCATATGTCATGAGCTCCACAGTGGAGTCTTAAAACCGCCTTCAGTTCCCTATCCAAAGCCTGTCCTTCCAGCTTTCACCTCCTACTTCCCCTGCTTTTCGATTCCAACACTGCCAACTCCTCACCCTCTGGTTTTACTCAATCCTGACTCCACAGCCTCCCTTATCCAGCCTCGACCCTGTGGTCATGCCACAGGGGCCCGAGCCAGGGCCAGGATTCAAACTGTGCTGACTCCACTGGCCTTGCTCTTTCCAGAGCCACCATGAAAGAGGCTTTTCATGCAGGTTGACAGCCTGCTTATTTCCCACTAAAACTCCCCCAACAAGCCCTGACCCCCAGCAGCTCTGTTTGTGAGGGAGAGGACAGGAGGAAGGACATAGCGGGAGAGGAATTTAGTAACTCTCCTCAGATCTGAGAAGAACAATCTGCTCTTTAGTTCCGCAGAAAACAGGAGAACCGTGAATGAAGCAGCAGTCCAGAGCTCCTGCAGCAGGAGTGATGGAGGCTGGACGCAGGACAGACTTCCTTATGGAGGAGGAGGGTGACAGCGTGGAAGGTAGTGGGAAGGTTGTGGTCTTTTTCTCGTGGGGCATAAATCGGAGCGCAGAGGCGTAACTCAAAACTCACAGGTGATGCTCATTTGTACAGAATCCTCCCCGTCCTGCGGAGCCAAGGAGCTCCCCCTGTCCTTGTGGCACAGGGGGTGGGCACCAGAGCAGCCGAAAGGGGGAGGGAGGGAAGGAGAGAGGAAGGCGGGGAGGAGCCACGGAAGGGAAGGAGGGAAGAGGAGCAAGGGAGGGGCAGCGCGTCCGCGTCTCCTTGGAAATGCCTCTCCGGCCCCGCCCCCACCCAGAGGCGATTGTGATGTCACCTGTGGAACCCCCAGACTACTGCCCGTCCTCGGGGTCAATGGAACCGCCCGCCCCGGGCCCGGCGCCTGGGTGGAAGCTGGACCCCTTAGGGGCTCGAGCCAAGCCCGGCGCCTCATGGGCAGCTGCCAGGGCCCGCGGCTGCGGCAAGTGGTGCCTCTCCGCCCTGTGGCCCAGAGTTCCGGCTCTGGCTCCAGCCACACTGCCCCTGCCGGCCCCGGGTCCCGCCGCCTCCGTCAGGACCGGGGCCCCAGCTCAGCACCGTCCCACCAGCCCCGGCCACGCCCCGCCCTTCTGCCCGCCCCTCCTTACCGCTGCTCTCGCTCTCGTCCCAATCCTTGGCCTTGCACTCTGTGTCCTCCTCGGTCCATCTTTCGATCGTTACTGTCGTCCTGACCCACATGGCTCAGCCCAGATCTTCGTCTCTACAGGACCCTTCCCCGCAGAAGTCCAACCTCGGCCCAGCTGTAAACTCCAATCTCAGCTTCACGCCAGTCTAGCCCCTAACTCCGCCTCATGTTTGCCCTGTCCCCTCCCACCTCCCCCCTTCCCGCTCTAGGCTGCGTTGTCTTCCCAGCCCGGTTCTACGCGCCAGCCGCGTTCTTCATCCGGGGCCTCCCAGCTCCTCCCAGGCCCCTCTTTGTGCCACCTTTAACCCTCGTACTGCCCCTTTATCTCAGACCTTACTGACAGGCCCAGCCCTCGGTCCCACCCATCTCCTCTCTAGACCCAGCCGTTAGTCTAGCCCGCAGATCGTAGCCCCGCCCCTAGATCGCAGCCCCACTGCTTAGTGAGCCGCCTGGCCACGCCCCCAGCCCCATTCTTAGCCCCGCCCCTTCTCTAAACCTCACACTTCGGTCCTGCTCCCGCCCCTCCCAACCCTTCCGAACCCGGCCGCAGCCCTCAGCCCTCAACCCTGCCCTGACCACCCGCGGAGCGACTGCCTCTGAGCACCCCAATCAACACCCCGCCATCCCCGAGGTACCCCCGGCTTGGGTGGGAGGCTGGGATCCCCCTCTCTCCACCCACAGGCCTCACCATAGGAGCCCAAGACCACACTCTCATATGAACACTGGAAGTCAGCGCCCAGCCACCCTGTGGCAGCCAGACCCTGAGCCACTAGAGGCAGCCACCCCTGCGCCGCCACCCCACACCCGCCACCAGCCCAGTCAAGAGTCTGATTCTCCATAGGCTTGTCCCATCCGCTATGCAGGGGAGGCTGCATTCAGGGCAATCTTATGCCAAGTGACACAACACACCCATCACACCTGTTATTAAGTACACATACACACTCTGCACATGCATGTATCACACACAGCACACACAGAAAATCTACTCACCACACACAGACTAATACAACATGCACACTCCCCTCACACCACACAGAACTCCACACACCACCCCCAGCACAAACATTCCACCCCACAACTGTGGTAAAGGCTTCACACACACACACACACACACACGCATTGTGTTAACAGGCTCTGTGCAAGGCAAGGGTGAGGAGTGCAGTGTTGTGAGGGAACACAGATGGAAAAATCAATGACAGGAGAGTGCGAAAAAGAAAGGCGCACCGCCAACATTCCATACACCACACCCTCAATTTCTCTTGGCACTAGTTTCCAAAGCCAGGATGGAGATGAAGGGAAAGGATGGTGTTTAACCCTTGTTTTTTCCAAGGCCATCAAGGGTCCCTCCTGCTGCTGCTGCTACTGCTCTGCCTAATCTCAACCCTCACTTTCTTCCAGACCCAAGTCCTGAGTGGGTAGGGCCACTGCCCAGGTCCTCCTACCCACAGTAGCTCCAGAGGGTTTAGGAACAGCAGGGGAGGAGCAGCCAGGAGATGGGGAGACATGTGGAGATGCCAGGCATGGAATGGACTGGAGCCAGGATCTGTGTTTTGTTTTGTTTTGTTTTGTTTTGTTTTGTTTTGTTTTGTTTTTGAGACAGAGTCTCACTCTGTTGTCCAGGCTAGAGTGCTGTGGCATCAGCCTCAAACTCCTGGGCTGAAGTGATCCTCCAGCCTCAGCCTCTTGAGTAGCTGGGACTACAGGCACACGCCAAGATGCCCAGCTAATTTTTTTTGTTTTTAGCAGAGACAGGATCACACTCTTGCTCAGGTTGGTCTCAAACTCCTGACCTCAAGCGATCCTCCTGCCTTGGCTTCCCAGAGTGCTAAGATTACAGGTGTGAGCCACCATGCCCAGCCAGGATCTGTGTTCTAATCTTGGCCCTCCATGGCCTCTAAGGAGGACAAGGGGCCCACGAGTTGTTGGCCTAGATATCTGAGGCACTTTCATCCAATCTAGAACTCTGGATCAGATGTCAACAGGAAGCCAGGGGCTGGGTCACTCTTCCTCATATAAAAGTTAATATAATAATTATAATAGCTAAGGATTTTTAGCTCTTCCTATGCATGTGTTGGTGCTGTATCTTATTTTAACAATGCAACCTTATGAATTTAGTATTATCAGACCCATTTTACAAATGAGGAAATTGAGGCACAGAGGATAATCGATTTGCCTGAGTTCTCATCACTAGTAAGGGTGGACAGCTGGGATTCAAATGCAGGACCTCTTGAATAATAGCTGGGGCCCCCAACCCTCCCTGGACCATCTGGTCAAGACGAAAAGCATTCAAAACTCAATCACTTCTCACTCTGTTTCCCCCAGAAAAGTATTTTTAAAAGGAAAGGCAGGGCCAGGCACGGTGGCCCATGCCTATAGTTCTGGCATTCTGGGAGGCTGAGATGGAAGGATTCCTTTAGGCCAGGAGTTTGAGACCAGCCTAAGCAAGAGCGAGACCCCATCTTTACAAAAAGGAGAAAAATTAGCTGAACATGGCAGAACGTGCCTGTAGTCTCAGCTACTTGGGAGGCTGAGGCAGGAGAATCGCTTGAGCCCAGGAGTTTGAGGTTGCAATGCACTATGATGATACCACTGAACTCTAGTCTGGGAGACAGAGCAAGACCTTGTCTTAAAAAAAAAAAAAAAAAAAAGGGCCGGGCATGGTGGCTCACACCTGTAATCCTAGCACTCTGGGAGGTCGAGGCAGGAGGATTGCTCAAGGTCAGGAATTTGAAACCAGCCTGAGCAAGAGTGAGACCCTGTCTCTACTAAAAATAAATAAATAAAAATTAATGGGCCAACTAAAAATATATAGAAAAAATTAACCAGGCATGGTGGTGCATGCCTGTAGTCCCAGCTACTTGGGAGGCTGAGGCAGTAGGATCCCTTGAGCTCAGGAGTTTGAGGTTGCTGTGAGCTAGGCTGATGCCATGGCACTCTAGCCAGGGCAACAGAGTGAGACTGTCTCAAAAAAAAAGGAAAGGAAAGGCAGGAAAGGGGTGAAAAAAGGAAAAAAAGTATTCAATGGAGGAAATTTGGATGTAAGCACCAAGTAGGAGGGCACATTTGGGGGTGATGGAGCAGAGGAAAGGGCTCTCAAAGCCAGCCATTCGGATCTCACCCATGAGGGCCCAGTGCAGCCCCCAAACCTGACCTCTGAGCTCCCAGCCTGACAGCCTGCCCACCAGCCAGGGATGGCCAGAATCCCTGTAGGCAGCTTCAGTCTCACGATAGCCATACAGCCCTGACCACTCCACACTCCTCTTCCCCAACAAAGGACTCCAGCCCCCAAAGTGCTAATAACAAAGAGATTTTAATGCATAAGGCACAGTGAGGCTGGAATCATTAAGCATCCTCCTATCCAAAGGGCCAGCAGGCTGAGCAAAAGCAGCAGGGACACTCCCCCCCAGCACCTGCTGGGCAGACTGGAGAACCCCCAGAGGAATACGAGGCCATCCAGTCTTTGGCATGGTGCCTGGGGACAGGAAGTGACTAGCATGGTCCCAGCTACCCCTCTGGGGACACTGCCACAAAGAGGCAGCTCTTTGGTGTGGAAAAACAGTCAGTGCAAATGCCTAGAGGTCACGCTCTGGGGGAGTCAGGGTGGCACAGTGCCCCAGGGCTGGGCAGTCTCTGGACAGTTTCCTCACCCTTCATGGGCAACATGTGGGCTTCTTCTTGCTGGTAGTTAAGTAGAGGTTGCTGTCATCACTGTTGATGCCTGAAGAAGAGTAGAAAATATGTGAAGCAGGGACTGGAGGTTCCCCTTGCTCTCTGCCACCCTCAACCAGGCGGGCACTCACGGACAACATCCCCAATGCGCCGGGCCCCTGATTTCTCCAGCTCAGCCAGCACATTGGCCTCAAAGGTCAGTGCCGCCACACGGAAGAAGAATTCCCGCACGTTCTCACCTGGCACAGGGGACAGAGAGCCGCTCAGGGGCAGTGCCAGGTCTAGGAGCACTGGGCTCAGCTAGAGGTGTGGGAGTGAGAGGAGAGTAGGCGGGAATGGCACAGCAGAAGGCCCAAAGCCTCCGACTCACCAGTGAGAGATGAGACTGCCCAGTACTCAGCCTTAATCTCCTGGGCCACCTTCAGGGCATCTTTCTCCATGAGCACATACTGAGCAGGAGTCTGAGGGAAGCTCAGAGTCAGATGAGGGGTTCCCTCAGCAAGTTGGGAAGTCCCCCCACTGGCACACTCACACTCAGGTCCTTCTTGGAACCCACAAGGAAGAGAAGCACGCTGGAAGGGTCATTCTCCTTGAGTGCATCAGCTAGCCACTGCCTGCCACAGATGGTGGAAAGCGAGGAACAAGTGAGCCTGATGGGCCCCTCCCACTGCCATCCATATGACCAGTGGGCCCCTCTCTGGTCCTAGATGCAGGCCTCTTCTCCCCTGACCACCCCTCTGTTCGAACCCTCTCTTCCCAGAGTGCCCCATTGTACTGCAGCATCATCCTCACATACTTGGTATGTTCCAGGGAGGCCACATCATTCAGGTTGAAGACAATGATGATGGCTGGAAGAGTGGCAGAAACAGCCCCAGGTTGATGGGGAAGACACTAGTGGCTCATTTCCCCAATCCCCCCAGCTCTAGATTAGAGGCCAGGTGCACTCTCAGACCCACCTACCTCACTTCACCCAGCCCCTTACCTTGAGCTCCTCGGTAGTAAGTTGAGGCAATGCATTTGAACCTCTCCTGTCCAGCAGTATCCCAACTGGGGGGAAGGAAGAGTGAAGCACAGGTATGTGGGGACTGGGTGGTAGGGTGTAGGTGCTGGGGGAAGCGATAGCTGGAAGGGGTGGAGGAAGCACTCACAGCTGCAAACTGAAGGGGACGCCCAGCACCTCAAATCGTTCCATCTCAAAGTCCACTCCGATGGTGGCCTTATAATTCTTATCAAAGGTGTCTTTGCAGAACCTGAGGTGGCACCAAATGCTCTGATCTGGAGCCCAGCCCACCTTTCTAGGCTCAGCCCCACCCTGCCTCGCCCAGCTCCAGCACCCCCTTACCTATTAATGAGGCAAGTCTTCCCCACGGACAGGTCGCCGACCACTATGACCTTGGAGATCTTAAATCTGCTGGACACAAGAGTGGGCAAGGGGAGTGGGCACCAGCTCTTTCACCCTAGGGATTCCAATGATCCCTACCAAGTCCAGAAAGGTAGCTGTACCCAAGCTGAGGTTGCCATAGACACCAGGCCTCCCAGAGAGCTGCCTGGACAGATGTGTTGGGAAGAAGGAGAGTTTTGTTTGTTTTAGAGATGGGGCTCACTCTCTTTGCCAAGGCTGGGATACACTGGCACCATCATAGCTCAATACAGCCTCAAACTCCTGTATGCCAATGATCCTCCCACCTCAGCCTCTGAATAGCTGGGACTATAGATACCAATTTAGAATGCATCTTTTTTTTTTAGACAGAATCTCACTCTGTTGTCCAGGCTAGAGTGCTGTGGCGTCAGCCTAGCTCACAGCAACCTCAAACTCCTGGGCTCAAGCAATCCTGCTGCCTCAGCCTCCCGAGTAGTAGCTGGGACTACAGGCGTGCACCACCATGCCCAGCTAATTATATATATATATATATAATGTGTGTGTATATATATATATATATATGTGTGTGTGTGTATATATATGTGTGTGTATATATATAATGTGTGTATATATATATATATATACACACACACATATATATATATACTTTTTTTTTTTTAGTTGTCCAGCTAATTTCTTTCTATTTTTTTAATAGAGATGGGATCTGGCTCTTGCTCAGGCTGGTCTCCAACTCCAACCTCGGCCTCCCAGAGTGCTAGGATTACAGGAGTGAGCCACCACACTGTAATGCATTCTGCCCATTCTTAAGGGCGGAATGCAGCTTAAGTGATAGTGTTTTCTATTAAATTAAAGACAGTGACAGAGCCAGGTGTGACTTCCAAAGGGGATTAAGCATATAGACCGCAGGGCTATATGGGCCCCATGGAGGTGGTTGTGTACATTTGCTGTTATTACAGGGTGTCCGGGAACCTCCTTTCTTTGTTATGGGTGTCCCTAACTCACCCCACGGTGCCTGTCCGGTGCTCCTGGCAGGCGCAGGTGACGCGTGGGTGGAAGTCTTTGTGCACGTGCAAAGCGGCCTCCTTCCTCAGGCACTGAGTGAGAGGGAAGGGAAGAGAATGGTGCTCAGCCACTCCTGGCGCCAGTCCCGCAGCCAAGCGGCCCGGTGGGGGTGGGGTGGGGTGGGGTGGGGTGGGGGTGGGGGACCACCCAGAAGCAGCAGGCCTAGCCAAGCGGCAGAGCTGGGCCCAATGCTCTAACTGGTCTGGTGCCGCCTCCTCCCCGCCCACGCTCGTTGCAGCCACAAGCCCGACGTGGCCCTGGCGCCTACCTGGGGCAGCTCTGCCAGGACGCGGTCCCTCCGCACCGGCGCCAGAATGTTCATCTTGCCTGCGGCCTTGGGGGGCGCCCTGAGAGGCCAGATCCGCCCCAGCGACCCGGGCCCGCGGAGACCCGACAATCACTCGCGGCCGGGGTGTGCCGACTATAACTCGGGGCCACGGGGAGCCTACGGGAGCCCGTGGTCTCGGAGACGCTACGACCACCGCAGGCCACGGGGAAGAGACAATCACCCGGGGCCGGGGCGAGCCCACAATCACGCGGGCCCGGGGCGTCCCGAGAACGACTCGGGGGCAAGGAGACCTCTCGGCCGCCAGTTGGGGACGGGGAGTCTCGTCGGGGGCGGCCCGGGCGCGCGTAGACCCTACAATAACGCGGGGCCGGATAGTTCCTACAATAACCCGGGGCCGCGGAGACCCGACGTCAACTCGGGGCTGAGGCGGCCCTACCATAACAGAGCGGCCGGGGGCGCGGAGCGGCCCCGCCACACGGGGTCAGTGTGGGCAGGGGCGGCGCAGCCACGGCCCGCAGGCCGCTAGAGGAGGGCGCGAGGGGCCCAGTCCGGCTGCAGACCTCGCGTCCCACCCCGCTCCGGCTCCGCCAGCGCTGTAACTCGATCCCCGGAAATTCCTGGAGAAGGGCCGCCCCCGTCCCCTCTCCCGCAGCGCCGGTCCTCGCAGCCCGCCCTCACCTCCCCCTCCGGTCCTCCCCACGACGCCGCCCCGGCTCCGGCTACCCAGCCGGACGCCTCGCCGGGCACCAGGACCGCTCCCCGCAGGCTGCAGCCTCTCCCCCCGGCTGCTCTCCCCTGCGCCGCTGTGCCGGGCTGCGCCTTCGCGGGGATCCTTACCCGGCCGAGTTGGTGATGGGGATTCGGTGACGGCTGCGCAGCATCTGGCGAGGGCAGGCACCCGCGGGGAGGGGAAAGGGGGAGAGAAGGGGCCAGAGGAGAGGCGGCGCTTCGCTCCTCGACTCCGGGCCTGGGACGTGACTCATAGTCTTCCCCCTTTCGCCCTTGTGCCCTGGGGGTTGAGGGGGAGCGCGTAAAAGGGGTGCCGGGGTCCGAACTGGGTACCCACCGAGGAGAGAGACGTCCGAAGTCCAGCGTCTTTTCCTCTAAGGCTGCTGTGTAGTTAGGGGGATGTGAAAGCTGAAGACCAAGCTCCCTCTTTGGATGGAGGATAAAGACAGGCCAAGTGGCCGGCAAACACAGCTCTTTGGGGTGGTTACCGCTCTAGAACACGGGGACTCCGCTCTGGTATGGGCGTTCATTGCTCTAGCCCCATTGGAATCTTCTCTCCCAAGAACAATTTTTCCTTTTTACAAAAGCCTTTCAGGATAGAAGAAGGGGCACAACCAGTTTCACTGTCTAAGGGGACATCTCCGGTTCTATGAGGTTGGAAGGGGAACCCAGAAAGGACGGAGTGCGGGTGGGTGAGGCACGGCTCCTGCAGAGAAGCAAACCTGAGCATTAAGGAACCTTGCTCTGGGTTAGGCTCCGTGGCTCACGCCTATAATCCTAGCACTCCGGGAGACCGAGGCGAGAGGATCCCTTAAGGCCAGGAGTTCAAGACCAACCTGAGCAAGAGTAGGACTCCATCTCTACTAAAAATAGAAAAAAATAAGCCAGGCATAGTGGTGCACGCCTGTAGTCCCACCTACTCCGGAGGCTGAGGCAGGAGGATCGCTTTAGCCCAGAAGTGTGAGCTACGCTGATGCCACAGCTCTCTAGCCCTGGCGACAGTCAGACTCTGTCTCAAACAATAAAATTAAAAATTAAAAAAGGAAAGAAAAGAAACTTTGTGTCAGAACTGAATTTGATGAGTAGGACAAGGAGATGACTAGTTCAGGCAGGGGAATGTGAGTGAAATTTTTCAGAGGAAGAACTGGAGAAATCTGTGCGCTGAGTATTTGAAATATGTTGTTTTTTTTTCTTTTGGGGGTGGGGTATTTGGAATATTGATAGAACTTCTTCAAGAGTATTATCAGAAAAACGCAGGAAAATTAACAGTGTCACCGGTAAAGAGGCGGCAGATGTGGCAGCTTTGTATCTCTTTTGATACTTCTCTCCCTCCTGACTCGATTTTCTCTGCCACCAAATCACTGTGTTATTGAGAATCCACATCCCTCTCTGGACCTCAATTTCTACAGATGTTTGAGAAGTTAGACAGGGAAGATCCTGCTCTAACGCTCTAGAACTTAACAGCATCTAACTTCCCGAGTCAATCTAACAGCATTCTTTCTGGGACTTCCCTGAGACTGGAAATTGTTGAAGATAGGAAGCGCCCTGGAGCAAACCTGAACTGCAGCATGGTGTTCCACAGGCATGAGCAAATAAACACGTGTCTTTAAAAAACTACAACCCCCAGGCCCTGCGCAGTGGCTCACGCCTGTAATCCTAGCACTCTGCGAGGCCGAGGCGGGTGGATTGCTCAAGGTTAGGAGTTCGCAACCAGCCTGAGCAAGAGTAAGACCCCCCTCCCCGCCCTTCTCTACTAAAAATAGAAGGAAATTAATTGGCCAACTAAAAATACATAGAAAAAATTAGCCGGGCTTGGGGGCATGTGCCTGTAGTCCCAGCTACTTGGGAGGCTGAGGCAGGAGGATCGCCTGAGTCCAGGAGTTTGAGGTTGCTGTGAGCTAGGCAGACTCCACGGCAATCTAGCAGAGCCAGGACAACAGAGACTCTGCCTCCAAAAAAAGAAACTACAACCCCCAAGAAGCCTTAGGACTTTCGGAGGGGCGGGGTACCGCATGTGTGATACCTTTCGCGGAACAATTTAAACGAAACTACAATTCCCAGCGGGCGCCACTCTACAGATCATCCAATCAGCTCTAAGTAAAAAGCATCGCGAGTCTTTGGTGAGATTTGGCGCTATAAGCCCGTGGAAACGGGACTCGATGATCCTTTTCACAAGATGGCGCCGAAGGCAAAGAAGGAAGGTATGTGTGTGAGTTGGGAATGAGGGCCACAGCTGGTTTGTCTGGGGTCCTCGCAGAGCGAACGAATTGAGAGGACGGCGGCTGGGCTAGGCCCAGAGCGCCCTGCTACGGAGCTGTTTCCCGCGTTTGGGCCATGCTGCGGCGTGTGTGGGCCGCGTGGGCCCAGCCGCATGGGCTGGGTCCCAGTGAAGGGGACTGGTGAGGCAACTCGGCCGGCTTCGCCTTCCAGGGAGAGCCAAATAATCGTCCCTGGGAAGCTGCATGGGTGCACAGGCTGGCGCTCCATGTTTTCAGTCATGTGAGGAATTGGTGTTCTCTGCTTTACTCTTTTTCCTTCCGTTTCATTTTAAACGGGACTATATGCCCACCACTTCCCGTCGTTTTGCGATTGTATGTATAAAAGTCCTAGCACACATCTCGGCAAGTACGGAGTGTTCGTTCAGTGCTGGTTACTTTTTGTTTGTTTCGTCTTATCCCTGGAGTTACTCCAAGTTGGTCACCTTCGCCCCAAGTATCGTGCATATGATGGAAAAATCTTAATCTCCTGAGACTTGTGATGTCTTCAAAGGAACCACTGATGCACGTGCGACCATGACAGATCTTGAGACCGTAAGTGAGCGATTTTCTGAATCCCGCACTCTCGTTTTCTTTCCTTCTCTACCAGCTCCTGCCCCTCCCAAAGCCGAAGCCAAAGCAAAGGCTTTGAAGGCCAAGAAGGCAGTGCTAAAAGGCGTCCACAGCCACAAAAAAAAGAAGATCCGTACGTCACCCACCTTCCGGCGGCCAAAGACACTGCGGCTCCGGAGGCAGCCTAAATATCCTCGGAAGAGCGCCCCCAGGAGAAACAAGTCAGTACTGCCCCCTTATCCGTGAAAAGATGCTTGGGTATTCTCCGTTGGTAATTTGGAAATTTACCTACTCTAGAGCATGGCTTCTCAAACATATATTGGCACCTAATGTGCTTCTGTAATGGGAATATGACATTATTCCTGTTTTATTTAAGAACAAGAGAATTTTTTTTTTTTATAAAACTGGCAGGAATTCTGTTTAAATCGACCCAGAGTTTTCTGTTAGGTTAATCATTACTTCACATGTGGTCAAGGTTTGAAAATTCTTTCCTTTTTTTTTTTTTCCTGAGAGTATAAAGTAGAATTAAAGCGATGCTCCTTACCTTCGAGTTCCAGCTTTAGTTCCTTGCTTTTGGCATTACTGCTGTAGGGAACAGTCTCTTGAGTGTAAGGATATGGGTTGATTCTTGATTGATAATGGGGAATTCAGTTATCTGTATTGGGTAATGATGGCTTACAGCAGTGTATAGAAGCTTCTTTTTGTTCTCCCAAATTTTCACACTGTGCTCAAGGGATGGGGGTGGAATGGACAAAAAGTTTGGGCACTTTATTTTTTTTTGGTATCAAACTACTGGTAATAACTGACTCTTAAGGAACCACAGATTAGAGCAAAGCCATGGTAGTAGTTGCTACCAATGAGTTTTTGCTGCTCCCAATGTTTCCAAAGAGAATGGAGTGGGTTGTGTCCATGGAGGAAAGCAGTTAGAGCATTCCTCTCCAATTGGGCCTAGAATTTAATGTGATGAGATTGAGTCCTGAACAGGAAAGTAGTGTCTGGATAAACAGCATGGTTTCTGAGTTTCAGGTGGAAAGCTCTGTTCTAGCTGTGTGTGCTCAAGCCACTGCAAGTTTAACCTGAGCTGTAAATAATCTTGCTCTCAAGATTTGGTGGCCCTGGAGCATAGAGCCCATTTCCAGCAACCAAAAGAGGCAAAAATGTTGTGATCCAATCTCATAATGAAGCACCAACACAGAACTCTAGCAAATGAAAGAGTTTAAATAAAAGATGGTTTTTTAATAACTTAAAGAATGAGAGCCTTTCAAGTCAAAGAAAATGCACACGGTTCTATCCCCCATTTGGGGTGTCAAGCCCTTAGATTTCTGGGTGCAAATGATGACACTGTAAAGCGACCAAAGTCTGACCAAAATGATTTCTACCTCATTATCTGATGCACCTAGGCTTTCCTGGGCTTGAGCTCCCCAAGATGACCCATCCTTCTGCTAGGGCCCAGGCCATATGACCCCATTTTGTCTTTCCCCCAGGCTTGACCACTATGCCATCATCAAGTTCCCCTTGACCACAGAGTCTGCCATGAAGAAGATAGAAGACAACAACACACTTGTGTTCATTGTGGATGTCAAAGCCAATAAGCACCAGATCAAACAGGCTGTGAAGAAGCTCTATGACATTGATGTGGCTAAGGTCAACACCCTGATCAGGTAAGTGGGGCCCCAAGGGATGGGGAGGCCAGGCTACAGTCAAAAGCCAGAAAACCTGTATGTTATAAAGTTCCTTGCAAAACAGGGTGCAAGCCTTGAGGCACAAGCGTTCCTGTTGTAATTAAATTGTAATCCTCTGTGGAGTATAGACCAGAGGAAAATGTCCTCCTAGGACTTAATTTATAAGGTTAGTACGTGCTCATTTTTTGGGCCTATACCTCTGTTGGGAGAGGCCACTAGAGTTAGATAGTTCATATTAGATATTCTTGGTCTAAGTCTTGAAATGACTTGTGATGCTGTTTCTCATAAAAAGGAATTGGCTTTGTGGCCTTTTGCTTTCTCTAGCCCCCTCAGGGCAAATGAGAGAAAGATAATTATCTGGAAAAGAGTGACAGGAACAAAGGAACCACTTAAATGCCAGAAGATGGGGGGAGGGTAAGGGGGGAGAGTTTGGGTCAGGGAGGGCAGTGGGAACTGAAGCTTCCCTCTCCACCCCAGGCCTGATGGAGAGAAGAAGGCATATGTTCGACTGGCTCCTGATTATGATGCTTTGGACGTTGCCAACAAGGTAAGCTTCCTTTCCTATAGATGCCTTAATACCCACCCCTGGGTGTAAGTGACGCATCTATTAGTGACCAAAGTCTGAGTTTTGCTGATGAGCCATAATTGACTGTGCCCTATCTTTAATAACCCTTACCCTCATTTTCCTTTTAACCATGACATTCCAGCTTAATCTGAACATTTCAGCTCCAATAACAAAGCTCCTTTTGTTTTTCAGATTGGGATCATCTAAACCAAGTCCAGCTGGCTAATTCTAAATATATATATCTTCTCACCTTATCTGCGCCTCTTGTCTTTGTGTCAGATTCTGTTTGGGTTTGTGGGGGTGGGCATTCTGTGGTACACAGGTAGTGAGGTTGTTAAAGGGTCTTGCACAAGACTCTTATTCTACTTACCCTCTTGTAACACCACATCACTCCACTGTTATTAACTCCTGGTGGCAGGAGCTTAGGTACATGAGACATTTGTGAGTCTAACTAGGGTTAGTTGTCCTAGAAAACTACAAGAACCACTTTATCCCTTGAAGGAGCTGTGTGTAAAACCAGTGCTGCCCAGAGTTTGCAGGAGAGGAGGGATAAACTCGAGAGTTTTCATTAGCATCAATTTCAGGGCAGTGTGGGTTGGCTGGCTTTCTGGTAGCACCTTGTCCTCATACACCCATCTACTATGTCCAACCGGTCTGTCTGCTTCCCTCACCCCTTGCCCAAGAAAGGACAAGGACTTCAGAGGAGTGCTTTCATTAGTGTTTTCAATAGGGTGGATGCGGGCTTTGAAGGTGGAGAGGCTGGCCCCAGAGGACGCCCAGGCTTGGGGCTAAGTCCCAGCTTATATTAGGCTGTTTCTGTTCTTGGCTGTGTTTGCTGTCGTTGCCACAAGTCCCAGGCTCTGTATCTTTCACTCAGTCAAGAATTTGTCTTTGTGTTGCCGGTTGGGGACACGCTCAGGACAGAAGTCCGAACGGAGAAGTCGGGAAAAGTAGATGAGGATCATCACGTCCAGTAGGAGGAGGATACCCAGCAAAAAAGTGCCCAGGGTCCTCTGGCCCACATATTGCAAGAAGAAATAGGTGAGGTAGGCCTGAGGGGCCAGCCGGAAGAGAAAGTACATGACCAGGTTGACATACTTGTTGACTTTGTAGAGGAGGAGATCCTGGGCATTGTTGATTTTCATCATCATGCGGATGGTGAGGAAGATGTTGCTGACCTCCACCAGTAGTGTTAGGACGCCCCCACCAACAAAGCTCCCCCAAAAGATGCCTGAGAAGAAGGCGCCCATGGCCTAGAGGGTGATGGAGAGAGAACAGAGGTTAGGGAACCCAGATGCCAAGGCGTTCCTGGGAACTGGTGGGAGTAGACCACTGGAATTATGGCTGGAAAATCCTTAATTTCTTCCTTCTGGAATTTTTTCTTCCAACATGATTAGACTTTGATCCCTACTCACAGGTTCTGGCTCTGGATGATGTTTCCAGTCTGTTTAAGGAGGTAGTAGGTGAGACCACGGATTGTTAGCCTCAGACCTGTGAACAAGGGTACAAAGACTACCACCCCCCAGCATCCTAGCATGGGAAGTAGTACACAGGTGGGAGGGGGTTACAAAAAGATGGCCTTTTCAGGTCCAGAAAGACAAGTTTAGACCACACTGCCTGCTTCTCACTTACCATGACGTGATGGACAAGGTATTCCCAAGAAGCTCGAGACTGACGACTAACCACGATATCCACCGTGTCGTGGATGAAATAACCTAGTGGATGGATGGGGGAAGCGGTCATAAAGAGAACTGAGCAAGCAACTTTCTTGTCCCCAAACTCCCACTTTCTGGGCAAGACCTACCTGCAGAGAAGCAAACAAGCAAATAGCCAGAAAGCGACCATGCAGTCTCAATCTCCACCAGCATCTCGGGGGTCTGCCATATACTGCAAGGGAGGGAAGACGGGAGGCTCTCTTCATTTCCTCGCCCCTAGGGACCTTCACTTTCCCCAATACCCCGGTCCCGGGAGAGCCTGGGCTTGCTATTTTGCATGGAGCCAGGAGGGGCTTGGCCAAAACCCAGGTGCCTCGTTTCCCAGGTGAGCTCCCCCTCGCCTGAGGCCGCTGCGGCTCCTGGTTGGATAAGATTTCAAACAGGGAATCAGGTGAGACAGCATGGCCCTCAGCCCGCCGTTGAGTGATGGGGTAGTGACACGGGAGCCAGCCCCAGCGTCCCGTGCAGGATCCCCTCGCCACTTCATTTCCCCAGTCGCTCACTCACCACAGCAGCGCCCAGGTCCCTGATACAATGGAGTGGGCGAAGGAGACTAGCAGATTGTGCCAGCGCCAGGTGCGTAGGGGGTCGGTGCGCACGTGCGCGGGTAGGGGCAGGCGACAGAGCCCGTGCCGGAGTGCCCGGAAGGTCAGCGTGGCGCCCAGGAGCAGCGGCAGGGCGGGGTGCAGCAGTAGGGCCATGCTGGCCCTCCCTGCTGTCTGTCTGTCCGCCCTGTAGGCCACCTCTCCCGGCCGTTCTGGAAACGGGGATCTGTCTCGGGCCGGTCCACCCCGGCCGCCGCTCGCGCCGACCGCCAGCCCCACACAGCATTCGCGAAGCCCTCTAGGCCCCTTCGCTCCTCCCGGCGTGCCCCGTCGGGCCACCGCCCCCGCCCCGCCCCGCCCGCTTGCCCCCGCCCCTCAGGCGCCTCTGCCGCGCGGAGGGCGCGAGCCCCATTTCCCCCGGGCCCCGCCTGGCTCCCGCGGACTTCGGGTAATAAGGGGTAGTCCTGGGGGTGCCGCCGCCAAGGCACCCCTCGCTGGCGCCTCCCGACTGCCGACGGAGTCCCCAGCAGCGCTCGCTCTCTTGGCCTCATTAACCCGCGTCCCCACTTTCCCCCGGGCCACCGGCTCCCCAGCCACGGGCGGGTACCGCGAGAACTCTCTCTCCGCCCTCTACTCCTTTCTGGGCAGAGCTGGGCGGTACCCGTCCCCGCCCTCGTCCCCTAAACCTTGGCACAGGGGAGGGGTCAGGAGCCCCGCCTCCGACAGTGGGCCCCGCGGGGACGCTATCGCTCCTCTGGATCCCTGCCTTCTTCTGTCCGGAGGCCGCCGTGCTTACCTGCCTGTCCGCGCCCCGCAGGAGTGGGTGCTTAGGAACTGCTGGGCAACTCATCACCACCTCTCCTCACAGCCAGCTGCTGGGCTCCTGCGGCCGAGCGGCTGTCACAGTCCTCCCTCAGACAGTCCCAGCCCTCTCTGCCCGGATCCCTGGAGGCTGGGGCGGGGAAGACTGCCGATTTGTCCAGACTGCTGGGGCGACCCTCTCCAGACAAGCGGCATGCCGCAGTTGCGACTTCTGGCCACTAGGTGTCAGGCTGCCCTCACTGTGGCACAGGGTCCCCTCCCGCCTCCAAACCGGCAAAGCTGTCGCTTTTGGGAAGTTAGGGAGACACTGGCCGAAAGGCGCAGCTGAGAGCCCGTGGGAGAAGTGAAGCGATGTGGGGATTTGGGGGTAGGGGGACGTGAGAATGGAAGTTGAGGGGAGAGGAGAAGCGGGAGCGAGAGGAAAGGTGCTGCGAGAGGCAGGAAGAAGGTAGAAATCTCGGGCGTGAAAACCCAGGGGCCAAGCTATCTGGGTGTTTGCTCTGCCTCCCCATGGCTCCAAGGTTACACATTAACCCCTGTGGGGCTCCTGAGTCAACCAAGACCCCGTTGGTTTCTAGGCGACAGCACGAGTGCCCCGGGTGAGCTGCTTTCACCCTCTGTACTCCTCTTTGCTCACAGGGCAGCTTTGTCCGCCAGCGGACACCGGTCTGAGCCAGCTACCGAGGGACCTTCATGGGGCCCTTCCAGGGGTCATTCCGCAGGGGCGGCTTTGGGCGCCCTTTCGAGGGATAGGGCCAGAGGATAAAACACCCTTTTCCTCATATTCCTTGCCCACTCTGAAATAGGGATGCTGACTCTTTTTTTTACCCCCTTTTATTTCATCATATTATGGGAGTACAAATAATGTTAGGGTTACATATCTTGCCCCTGCCACCCCAATGCTGACTCTTAATGAACGATCACACCCGTCCTCCTTACAGCGCTCCCGCAGAGCAGGAGGCGCCAGGGAGAACCCGGAATTAAACTCACTTCTGGCCAAGACCTGGCTAGAGAACAGCCCATTCTACTAACCAGCCCCTACCTCTGGGCAGACGCCTTGGACCATCTCGGCCAAACGGCGGGGCAGTCTTTCCCTCTCTCCCAGCTGCTTTCAGATAGCGGTCCCGCTGCCTCCCTTCTCCCCCTGGAGGTTCTCCCCTACGGTACCCTCGGGCAGCGCCGCCAGTGCGGAGGCGGAGTGCCCACAGCCTGGAGCCCGAGTCACTTCCTCCCCAGGTGAATCAAGCTGCACAACCCGGGGTTTCCCCGGCCCCTCCCTAGGCAAACACGAAACTAACCCTGCTCTCGGTTCAGTTTTGGTTATTCACCGTTTGCGTGCCAGTGAGGATCTGCTTCTTTCTCCTGAAATAGCGTCACTCGTGGGGGGGAAAGGGGGAGTGCGATCCTCGCCTCCCACCCTCACCCGGCCTGTGGGGGCAACTGTCGGGAGCGGGTCTACCTCCCGTCTAACAAGTTTGGAGAGGGCCGGATCCGAGTGTGGGAAGGAGCCGGTACTGTGCTGGCCACGTGGGGCGCGTCCTAGTGTTTTGTTTGCCCTTTTCCTTAGAACCAGCGTGGGACACGGTCCTTAGAGGAGGAAAGTGACTGCGCGCCTGAGCGGCCGGCACGCCGTAAGCCCACAAAGACTGACGCGCGGCGGAGCCCACGCACAGCTCTGCCCGCCCCGCCCCGCAAACGTCTCGCAGCGCCGGGGGCGGGGCCCTGGAGTGGGCAGGCCCGCGCACGCGCCGTGTGGGGGGATTCCGGAAGCGAAACCCAGAAACGAGATGGAGAAGTACGAGCGGATCCGAGTGGTGGGGAGAGGTGCCTTCGGGTGAGCTAGGACTCGGGGCTAGGAAAGTGCTGGGGGACAGGGAAAATGAGCCTCAACTCTGACCGCGACACCCTGCCCGGCTGGCCCCGCCCCTAGGCGTCAGCGCTACTCTGGACGGCCCCGCCCTAGCTTCCGGTCCCAGCGGGGAGACTCCGCCTCTCAAAAGGCCACGCCCCCGGCGAGCCTCCGTGCGCCCGCGGGGCTGTTGGATGCCTCTCTTGTTCTTTTCGTAGGTACTGCGCGCCTGGTCCTAACCGAACAGGCGTGGTCTTTTCCCTCTTGGAGCTTACAGACTATGGAAAATTAGACAGTAAACAAGCACATTGTTAAGACAGTTAAGAAGTTACTGGGCGGCGCGGTGGCTCATGCCTGTAATCTAGCACTC